CCGGGCGGCGGAGGCGGGGCGCGGACCCGCGAGGGCTCCGAGTGGCCGGCCGGGCTTGGGGGGCGCGGTGGGCCGTCCGGCCGCGCAGGGGCGGGACGCGCTGCCCTTTGGCGCGCGTGGGTCCCCGCAGCCGCCGAGGCTGCCCCGATCGGGGTCCGTCCCCGGGGCCGCGGCGCCCGGCCCCTCCCCGCCTGCATTTGTTTACTTTCTTTCCCTGGCGCACCCCGCCTTGGACTGATCGCTCTACCTCTCTTTCCCCTGCCCGGCTCGGCTCTAGCGCCCGGGGACGAGAACTCCTGGAAGCTGGAACCCCACAGGTCACCAGTCAAGATGAAGGTAAGTGCAGCCAACTCTTCAGTGCCCCGGACGCACCCAGTCCCGAGCCTGCTGTTGTGGAATGGCAAGCCCTTTTTTTGTTACTCGAAATTGATTTCTCTGCTAAGAAGCGCTTTCAGGAAAATGAGGTGTGAATGGGTGAGGGGTGTGTGTGCGTGTGTGTATGTGTGTGCGCGCGTGTGAGTGCGTGTGTGTGTGTGTGTGTGTGTGTGTGTGTGTGTGTGTGTATGTGTGTGTGTGTGTAAATGCAGGCAGTTGAGCTCTCCCTTGCAGTTAGCACTTTGGAAAAAGTCCGACAGCTTTTCTGGTCTTCATAGACCTCTGTGTTAACAGCACCTTTCAAGAAATAAAGCTTTTGTCCTGCTTCATTTAGTTTTTTTTTTTTTTTTTTTTTTAAATATTTGGTGTTTTGGTTTGGTTTTGCTTTTGTTTTCTTGAAACATGTTTACTTCCCTCTTTCCACTACCAATGCCATTTTCTAAAAGAAATAATGTGTAGCTTGAGTAAGGGAGATAGTTCTGGATATTTCTTCTTGGGATAAAGTAAACAAAGGTCATGACAGTATTTAGGTTGCTTATTTCTGTCTTCGTAATATATATTAAGGCATGATTCTGTGTGGGGGTTTTTTTTTGTTTGTTTTTTGTTTTTTTAGCTTCCTAGTCTTACGAACGTCACTCTCTGTGTGTTTAAAGGGAAAGGAAGCTTTCATAACATTCTTCAGAATGCCTTAGGATACTGTGGCCCTTGTTTGTTTCTGGTCAGATAGTTAACAAAAAGTATTCCTCTTCATTTTCTGTTTGTAAGTGGACTGACATTTAAAAGTACATGCTCTGTGTTGTGCTTACTGCCGTGGCTTCTCTGTGCAGGCATGTATATAATACATAGTAAATAAAAGTTAGGTTTCGGTTATTTGAGACAGTATCCTGTAGCCCAGGTTGGCCTGGAACTCACGCTGTAGTTCAAGGCTGACCTTGAAACAGGACTAGTTTTCCTGCTTCTCTCCAGATCCTCGGATGAGAGAGAGGCATGCACCACCATACCTGACTGTTGAAGTATATTACTTTCTGAAATTCTCACATTTCCTCTTGTTTGCTTTCTTTGGAGTGATAGAATTTTCTTATACTTTGGAAAATGAAAAATTATTTCCCATTAAAAATGTTTAGCTAAAGTATACATTTATATCTTTGCACTTATAATTGAATTGTATGAATTCATAACAGCTTTTGAAATAGGTCAAATGACAGACTGAGATAGCAGTCGTCTGTTACTGTCAAGATTAGAATGAATGGCAAATGGAAGTGTCTTACATATTTCAGTGTATGATTCTGGTCATGACTACTTTCTGTAAGTGGACATTTCCTAATAAAAGATGTTTTAAGTATACTGAGAGGACTAATGTTGTAAACTAGATACCGCTACAGTCTTTAGCTATCAGTTTTCATCAGTGAAGTTTAGACCTAAACCTTTCAAATACAACCTTCATCCAGGACTTCGGAAAGAGTTTGCTTGGTGTCTTGTCTGTAGAGATACACTGTATCACAAGATAACGCCTCAGCCAGGCTTGGTGGCCCTGGCCTGTAATCCCAGCATTTAGGAGACAGAGATAGCCTGCACTTGTCTCAAAAGCTCCAAGCAAACAAAAGGTGCTACCTTCATAATCAGTCTCACTAAACATTTAACTATGTACAGTTAGGACTAACTTTTTAGCAATATTTCTTTTTCATCTGGAGAACAGAAGTTACTGTAGGCCCAAATTTAATAAAATTCATGAGACATTTGATATAAATACATTTCTTCCTTTTTTTTTTTTAGTCTTTTTATTTCTCATATATTTAATTGTAAAATTTCTTAAAACATGTAACTGAAAAAAAAATCAAATTTTTTTCCTACTGGTAGTTTCCAGTTACTACTTTTACAGCATCAGGAAATGACTATATAGAATGAAATAGTGTTAATAAGGTGTTTGCTTTAGGGGTGTTTTCCAAATGCTCACTGTTGTTAAGCAGACTATGTTAATGTCCTTGTGACTGCAAATGTAGCCCCTTCTAATTCTGGTAGGGGCGGGGTAAAGGAGAACAGAAGTGTCTTCAAAGTTTATGTTCTTTCCTCAGGCGGCAGATGAGCCTGCCTACCTCACAGTGGGAACTGATGTCAGTGCCAAGTACCGAGGAGCCTTCTGTGAGGCAAAGATCAAGACCGTGAAAAGGCTGGTGAAAGTTAAGGTAAAATGCTTATAGACTGTTTAAAACAACTGAGGGGTTTTTGTTTGTTTGTTTGTTTTTTGTTGTTTACCATTTGTCTCTTAGCAAACAAATAGGTTTATTTGGTATTCTGCAAGTGACAGAAGGCTGGGTAGTGACAAGAGCCCTGTCTGTCCTATAACAGTTTCTTTATGTACACTGAAGATATTGCAGTCTCTATGAGTCCAGAGGGAAAGACTGTACATGATCAGTCTCCTACTGAATCAGTGCTATGAGCAAGAATCATTGTATACTAAACTTATAAAGTGTTTTAAGAATTGGAAAATAGAGACCTCAAACTGAGAAAGGATTCCAGAATGCTTCTGTCAAGATACCAAGGAGTGATGCTTGTGTTACTGGATCATGCCTGTTCGTGGTACCATACCTGGGCTATAATTTATCTCCCCTTTCTTAATCAGATAATGACAGTTTCAGTGATTAGGAAGAACAATACATTAAAGTTATGGTTTCAAGATAACATTAATAATGATTCATGGAGTTGAGGTGTGTGTGTGTGTGTTTGTGTCTGGCATTTTCAGACAATTTCTGGTGATCATCTTGTCTTTGCCTCCTGAGTGTTAAATTATAGACCTGAGCCACTATGCCTGGCCAAGACTTTGATTTTTAAGACCAGGAAAACAAAGGTAAAGTTCATAATTCCTGTAGAGTTTGGAAATATAGAAAAGGACAGGTGGAGAAATATCCACAACTTTTCAGAAATCTGTTAACATAGTCAGTTTCCCTGTAGATCTGTTGTTTTTGTTTGTTGTTGTTTTTGTTTTCTTTTTTGAGATGGAGACTCATGTAGTCCAAGATGAACTCAAACTCACTGAGTATCTGAGAATGACTTTGAACTTGATCTTCTTGCTCCCACCCCCTCCAAAGTCCTAGAATCAGAGGCTGAGCCACCGCGCCTGGTTTTTATGGCACTGAGGATAGAACTCACAGTCTCATTCAGGCCAAGCTACCTTAACCACCCGGGCCACATCCCTAACTAGCCTGTCTGTCCTTCTAATGTAGGTACAGGAATATCTTTCTGTATATACATACTTGTAACGTTATAGAGCTATAAAATATAATTTATGAAAGTCCATATATTTTTTACAGGCTTCCGTGTTTTGTTGTGCCTGTCGTAGCGTCATTGTTACTATTATTGTAATCATGTTTCTATAGTTTGTATATGCCCTATTCAGTTACATATCTGTCTTTCTTTTTGTTGTTTGTTTGTTTGTTTGTTTGTTTTTGAGACAAGGTTTCTCTGTGTAGCCTTAGCTGTCCTGGACTCATTTTGTAGAACAGGCTAGCCTTGAACTCTGACCCTTGAGTTCTGGGATCACAGTCGTGTGCCAATGCACCCAGCTTCATTTATGTTTTCTTACCATAGTTATGTACCATGAGGATTAGACATCCCAGAGTTTCTATCCCGGATACTTACAGTAGTGTTTCATAGGTAGTGGTCACTCAGTTGGTTGAATGTGTGAATGAATAGATGAACAAACAAATGAGCTAGAGCATTGATTCTCAAATTGTGGCTCCCAGGCCAGGAGCATTAGCCCCCACTTAGAAACTTGCTCAAAATGAAGATTCTCAGGACTGTATCTCAAAGATTCTGAATGAAAACCTCTGGGAGTAATTCAGCAAGCCTTTCAAGTACAAGGCTTAGGAGTAATTGTTCTCAGCGAATGCAACTCATGCAGTCAACAGACCCAGGTATGGGTCTGCTAGTGAAACTTGATTGGTAGGATGCCATTTGACATTTTTATCTTCTTCATGTAGCCTCTTAACTTCATAAGCTATAAAATTGGACCTCTGAGTATTTGAGATTCATTGACAATTTTAACCTTTAAAAAATATGTAAATATTGTGGCTCTCAGTTTTTTTATTTAAAATAATACAGTAATTATTTGAGGACATCTTACACACTCATTACCTAGAATTTGGGTTCCACTGCTGTGATGTTTCCTGTATGTGTGGTAGAACCTAAAGAGCAAGAACACTGGAGAAGGATACTTTGTTGTAATTAAGTTGCTTCTAATTATCATAAGACTTTATTGTTTTATTTTGTTTCATTTTGTTTTGAGACAGGGCCTCTCTGTGTAATTTTGCCTGTCCTGGAACTCCCATTGTAGACCAGGCTGGCCTCAAAGTCACAGAGACCCACCTGCCTCTCTGCCTCCTGAGTGCTGGGATTAAAGGTGTTAACCTAATAAGGTTAGTTAAGGACCTCGAAAGCTTTGTTTTTAAACAGGCAATAAAAATTAAAGGTTTAAAAAATATTTTGTGACTATCAAAACCTTTTGTGACTTGATAAAATGCACTAGGAGCAGTTTTACCTTTTTATAGTATCACTGGGTTATAAAGCTATAGTTTGTTCATTTGGCAAGCAGTTATTAAATGGCTGTAATATGCACTGACACTTGCTAACAACAAGGGGAATAGTAATGAAAGGTCTCCAGCCTTCAAGGAGCTCAAGGTTAATGAGAAAGAAAAGAAACATACACAGAAGCCAGCGTAATAACTGTTACCCCAGAGGTACCCACAGGGTGGGAAGGAGGCGTCTGCGGTCTTACTACAGAGGCATTGTTCAAAAGGTGACTTGCAGATTGTTTTGTTTTCCAGGTACTTCTGAAACAGGATAACACAACACAGTTGGTGCAAGATGATCAAGTAAAGGGCCCTTTAAGAGTACGTATGTGGACAATTCAGAATTAAAAACAGTAAATCACAGGCAAATGCCATAATTTGTTAGGCTTCATTTGTACATAAACTTGCACTTATATATGAATGTTGATCAGAGAGCAAGTACAAACGATACAATAGTGTAAGTTGTGATAATGTAATGACTGTGTCTTTAAGAACGTCACACACAGCTGGATCACGTGTTTATTTAATTTGTTTTTGTTCTGTTTTGAGTTTGGTTCTTTTAGATGGCCTCACAGCCCAGGTTGCCCTGCCACTGTAGCGCAGACCTCTGCCTCCCGAGTGCTGGGATCATGGGTGGCTAGCGGTGTGCTTGGCCAACAGTGCTTTTACACACGTTAGGGAGCCAAGCTTTCCCTTGTCACTGAATACACGCATTCGTGTACACTGAAAGCTTGCTTACTTGTTTGTTTCTCTTTTTTGAGACAGGGTCTGATCATGTAGCCCTAGCGCTCACTGTAGACCAGGCTGGACTTGAACCTACAAAGATCTCCCTGTGAGGGTGTGCTTCCCTGTCTCATTTGAATGTTACTTTTTTTTTTTTTAACATTGTGTCAGTATTTAAGATGATGCCTGGGACATGCCAAATCTCATAAACTTTTCTATTTGTTTCGATTTATCATATAAACTATATTTGCTTCATTATTCAATTTAATGAAAAGCAATATTGTGTCTTCTATTCATTTCTGACTTTATGTAGTTAAGTCTCTGTCATGTTCAAGTACCACTTTGGTTAATATCAATATACAAAGGTCTGGAAGCTGAGTCTAGGTTAACTGGTCTGTTCCTCTCTCTCCAGCTGAACCTTTCTGTGACAGGTCCTTAAATATAAGAGCTGAATTCCATACTCAATATTTTGGTGAAATCAAACAAACTGTTTTTGTTGTCTTATGATTTGACATTTGTTATATTTAAGCCTATTGGAGATAATAATACAACATGGCGAACAAACTCTGAAGTAAGATTTTTTAGTCAGGATTTGAATCATGGACTCTGTAGATTATCTTTTCAAGTTGTAAAATGTAACAACTGCCTTAATTACACCAGTGAACTCTGGGGCTCAAATTACATGAGGAAGATGCAAACATTGTTACAGATAATTCTGCCTTAATCTAGTTCATGTGTTTGTTGATAGTTTCTTACTCAGATCCTGAGTTGATGGGAATAGTTTGGTCTGTGTTTAAATCTTGTAAGAAGATTTGGGTTTCATGTTTCAGGTTGGAGCTATTGTTGAAACAAGGACATCTGATGGATCCTTCCAGGAGGCTATTATCAGCAAGTTGACGGACGCTAGCTGGTATACTGTGGGTAAGTAGTAGCTTTACACATAGCTTTGACCGGAGGTGTGTGTACTTCTACCTTCCAAATACAGGGAAGTGTGTGTTGGCAGGAAACTTGCATTCTTTCCTGTGAGTTTGCTGGATATACTAGCCAAAAAATTGGTAGTGATGTTCAGCTGGGAGCAAAAGCAGGTGTCATTTAGATCACGGGGCTGTTTTTATCCTTAGTACTTTTTTTGTAGCTGACTTGGATATTTTGTCTTCAAGAAAGTAATGTTTTTTTCCTAAGACAGTTTGTTATTTCTGTAATTGTAGGGAAGACTGCACAGGTGTCACTGCCGTTTGTGCAGTAAGGCTAATGTAGGCACTTGAGGATAACTAGGTGTTGCCGCAGAGGATACAGATGGAACAGGTTCTGCCAGAGTAGATTTGAGCCCAGGTGCTTAACAGGAGAGGGTTCTTCCATCAGGAGTTTCAAGATGAGGTGTATACCGATGCTGTGAATTCATTCTTACTGTTCTGTGTGTAAACTTGTGCTGGCTTCATAAAAGAGCATTAGTGAGCCAGGAATGGTGGCAAATAGCTTTAGTCCCAGTATTCAGAGGCAAAGACAGGCAGATCTTCATGAGTTCAAGCCCAGCCTGGTCTACATAGTTTCAGACCATGGCAAGACCAGTGGGTATGATCGTCCATTCCTGTAATCCCCAGCACTCAGAGGCAGAGGCAAGAAGCTCTGGAGTTGAAGATAGTCGTTGGCTACATACTGAATTTGAAGCCAGCCTGGGGAACATGAGACCCTGTCTCAAAACAAACCTAAAACCTAGCAAGAAGCAACAAGTGTCATGTATAAATTAAAAACTTCCAAATTGCATGGAAGCACTGAGGTTATCTATACTGGGGAGAAAACCGGCAGTGACATTTCCAGACCTCCTCTCCATAACTTTCCGACTGCGGACCTCTGTGGACTGTATCCAAGATGTTTATACTGGACACCTATAACCTTGCTTTTGTGCTTGTATATGCATCTTGGTAATGTAGTTACGGTATTATGGTTTCCTTGCTTAGTTAGGTTTACTTTTAGCTTTAAATTTTATTTTAGCTGTTTGTTTTAATTTTTAAATTTTTTTTTTTCACGTGCTTTGGTGGTTTGCCTGCATGTATAGGTCTCAATGAAGGTGTCAGGTCCCCTAGAGCTGGAGTTACAGACAGTTGTGAGCTGCCATGTGGATGCTGGGAATCGAACCCAGGTCCTTGTGCTCTTAAATGCTGAGCCATCTCTCCAGCCTCTTAGATGTTTTCTTGTTTGTTTGTTTTGTTTTGCCGTTTTTTTTTGAGACAGCATTTCTCTGTGTTGGCCTGGCTGTCCTAGAATTCACTCTGTACCAGGCTGGTCTTGAACTCAGAGATCCATCTGTCTCTGTTTTTCAAGTGCTAGAATTAAAGATGTGCACCACCACTGCCTGGCTAGATGAATTTATTTAATTTTCTCTTTCCAAGGACTTAATAAAAAAGTTTTAATTCTTTGACTTCCTGGAAATTGTGGTTCATGAGGCACTGTTATTCTCAACTATTTGTTTTTCATTGAGCCAAGTTGTTGTTATTGATATATTTTAAAGATTTAAAAACTACAATTAATAATAACTCTAAAGATGAAGTGGATAGAATTGTGCTTTATTAGGCAAAGTGCTGGTAAAGGGTAAAGGTTTGGTAAATAAGAGTTATATGATATTATACGATACATATACAGATCTGCCCTCTGTGACCCTTGCTCTCAAGGTTGCATTCAGAACTTGTATAGCTTTAGCCATACCCTGCAGAAGCAATACCTGCACATCTTCACATTTTCTCTTTTTATATTCCAGAATAATCATTGAATTATGAGCCTGTCCTCTTCTTGAATAGCATTTTGTCGTTTCTGTAAGGTAGTTGCTATTTGAGCATTATTTATAGTGTTCTTCTGTGCTGGATAATCCCAGAAGGAAGTGTGTAATTCTTATACTCAGACCACTTTGTACGTAACTTGCATATGATTGAGATATCAAGCATATCTAAGAATGTGTAGGAATCAGCTGGTTCTTATCTGAGAAATATAAAATGAAAACCCCAAACCAAATCCAGTAGTTGTAGGGAGGCAGTGGAAGCTTTCTTTCTATTAAAATACTGGATGATTCTGATGCACGCAGTTCATGTATAGAAAACAACCCGCGTAGGCTGGTGAGGTGGCCCAGTGGGCAAAAGTGGTCCATATAGACCTGACACCTGAACTGGGGTGACTGCCAGAACTTATGTAGTAGAAGAAAATTAACCCTTCAGAATACGCCCACTTCTCCACACGTGTCGTGTCATGTGTGCGCACACTAGACATCACAGGGCTGGAGGGACGACCTACTGTTCTTCCAAGCGACCGGAGTTCAGTTCTCAGCACCCCTGTTGGGCAGCTCACGACTGCCTGTAACTCTAGCTGCAGGGGGATTCAGTGCCTCTGCTCTCCATGGGAACCCGCGCTTACATGCGCATAACCTACCGTAATTAAAAGTAATTAAATAGATCTTTAGTAAGTAAATATTACCAAAAACGAAGGGAGGGAGGAAATCATACCATACAAACAGAAACACTTATTTGGTAGAAAAAGTAGAAATCATTAGGAGGACCACAGTTACAGTTACTGATAGAGTAACTGTATCATCAAGGCCATGGCTCTTATCACTATACCAGTGGTTAATGATTGAAAGCATTTTTTAAATTATTTTTTATTTTTATGTGAGCGTGTATGTTTGTGAGTTTATGTGCATCATGTTCAAAGAGTAATGGATCCCCTGGAAACTGGAGTTAAAGGTGACTCAGAGCCACGCCGTGGCTGCTAGGAACTGAACCCTGGGTCTTCTGCAAGAACAGTGAGTGCTCTCACTTGCTGAGCCATCACTTCCCCCTGGTGCCTTCTGCTTGTTATTCCTATGTGGGAGTTTAGCCTAAGACAAGCCCTTCAGAAACTCTTCCAGGTCACCTTTGGAAATAACTCCACGTTGTATGTTACTGTCCCTGAGTACCAGATATAGAGTTAGAAGCCAGTGCTGTGATGATCCTAGTTCTGTGTTGACCTAGACTAATGTGTTTGTATCTGAGTTTTTAGCAAAAAAAGTTCTGACAGAAAAGTAAACTTATAAAATTGAGTTAATGCAGAAAGGAAGAAAGTAATTTTGTATTGGTGTACAAATAGTTTTGTGTTTTAAGCTGAGTATTATTACATGAGACAAGATAAAAAAAAATGCCAGGTGTGATGGGTGGTAGACACCTTTAATCCCCACATTTGGGGGCCCAGAGGCAGGCAGATCTCTTTAAATTTGAGGCCAGCTTGGTCAGCATAGTGATTTCTAGATCCTCTCTCAAAACAAATTAAAAAATAGCTTGATAAACAAAGTTAGAGTAAACTAACATTTATTATTGCAGAAAAATATAAATTCAGTGTAGCCTAAGTATACAGTATCTATGAAGTCCGTGGTGGTATACAGTGATATTCCAGCCCTTCACAGTCACTCTTCTCTACCTGACCCAGCTAAGCAACTTTGGCTCTGTTGGCTTCTTTCACAGTGGGTAGCTTATACAGCTCACCATTTAAACCTTAGGAAGATGTGTATTTTGCCTTCATGTATGTATACCACATGTGGCTGATGTATTAGGAGACAGAGAGGGTGTCAGAACCCCTGGGGTTGGAGTTAAAGAAGGTCGTAAGCCCCTGTGGGTACCGGGTCTCAAACCCAGGTCCTTTGGAAGAGCAGCCAGTGCTCTTAAGCACTAAGCTGTCCTTCCAGTCTCCCATTGTATCCTTTGGGCTGTGTGTTTGTTGTTCCTGTTCTTTGTTTAGATTTACAGATACTTAGTGCATTCTTGAGACCTATGCTTTCAGTATGCGTGTTGTGTATCCTGAGGGCAGTGACTACACAGTATCACCTAGGTGTGTGGGAAGCTGCACCATCTAGGATTGCCATGATCTCACAGTGACGCAATCACCTAACCATGCTTCTCTCAGGATCTACTCCCATTGTTAATTGATGTATGACTACGTATTGATCATTAAGGAAATTAAAACCATCATGAGGTATCATCCCATACCTGTTACAAGAGTTGTCACAAGACAGGATATACAGGTAAGATGTGGAGCAAATGGAACCTTTGCTTACTCTTGGCAAGACTATAAATTAGTAAAACCACTGTGGAAAACACGATGGAGGTTCCGCATAAAACTAAAATTTGAATTTTTGTTAGACAGGATCTCTGTGTGTGGCCTAGGCTGGCTTGCACAGTCCTTCTGCCTCTGCCTTCTGAGTGCTTGGGAGTATAGGCATGTGCTACCAACGGCACTTGATTACAAAGCAGAATCCCATTTCTGGATTTACATCTAAAGAAATAGGAAATCAATACATCAGAGACCTTTTTGTGTTTCCATGTTCACTGTGGCTTTTTTTTTTTTTTTTCCTGAGTGGTGGGATGGAATTAACCTAAGACACATCAGGGGCTGACTAGATTGAGTGTGGTCTGTGGCTGTGGAATCCTTCTCAGTCTTAATAAAACTGGAAATCCTTCCACTTACAGCTGCACAGATGAACCTGGGGCTGTTGTGCTAACAGGAACACACAGCACAAAAGATCAAATACTACACCATTTTATTTGTATGTAGAATATGAAATGGTCAGACAGCAAGCCGAAAAAAGGGAGCTGAGGAAGGTGGGGCTGAGGGATTGGGGATGTATTAGTCAAATGATAAATATTTCAGTCAGGAGGAGTAAGTTGAATGGCTGTGGTGAGGTTCCTGGAGCTTAGCACTCGAGGCAAGACTAAAGCAGAAGGAGTGAGGAGGGTAATGAGTTAGAGAGATTGCTGGCCAGTCAGTAACAGTGCACCGAAATAGTCTTTAAATGTTCTCACTAAAAAAAAAAAAAACTGTGAGGTAATACAGGTGCCAGCATCTAAGCTTATATGTTTATTTCAAACATTATGTTTCATACCATACATTTTTGTATTTTGATTTGT